ACACTGTTTAAGGAGACTCTGAGTGCGTGTGCGTGACAGACACGGAACAGGCGCGGAACAGAAACGGCGCGGCAGCGAACCCTCACCCAGTGCCCTCTGCCTCACAGACAGACTCACAGCGCTCATGTGGTCCCTGGTTACACGGTCTGCGGTCAACACAGGTCAGTGGTCCACATGCTCCTCACACGTATTTACTAATGTTTCCAAACTATAAAGTCACGCAGTTTTCTGCACCTGAAGACAAACAGAGCGTGCGTCAGGTGCGTCAGGTGCGCAGTAGAGCCTCAGCGGTGAGTGACCAAACAGCTCCTCTGGTACTGAATAACTCACTCCAAACAAAGCTGTGGTGCATCTGACTGAAGGAGCATGGGTCTAGAGCTGGTCTAGTTTGAGTTTTGGGGTAAGTTCAGGTTTAGTTTGAGAAAATTCAGTTTTCTATCTCTGAAAAGAGGTTTAGGTCAGTAGGGCTGCAACTAATGATTATTTCTTTCAAATATTCGATTAGTTATTTGGATTGCAAAAGAGAAAGGTCTGTGAATGTGACATGTTCACTGCATTTGATGACACAAAATGTGTCGTTCATTAAAAACAAATGTTCCACACAGTGTGTCAGTTTGGGCTCCTGAAACCTCTTCTCTAATAATCACATGTTGTGTTTGGAGTAGGGGAGGACTGGTTCAATACTGATATCACATATTGGTGCATGTTGGGTATCTGATCTATGTTATAATATAGTTTGCAAACATATCCAGAATTGTTTTTGTTTCATTCACATGTTTAATGCCCTAACCCTGTATATTAAGACTGAGTTCTTCTCTCAAACAGAAAACAGTGTGTTCCATCTTGTGATGTCACGTTGTAATACAGGAAGTGTTCCACTGTGTTTTTAAACTCCTTTCAACTTCATTAGAATCATGTGGATGATTTCAGTGAATGGTAGCTGGGCCCTGTGTGTGTGAGCCTTTATAAACTTGTGTGTGTTGTGTTTCAGTCAGGTGCTGTGCCGTCAGAGCCATGTCGTCCTACAGCTCCTTGCTCCTGAGCCGGCCGTCCCCCTCTATTATCCACGTGGAGCTCAACCGGCCGGACAAACTCAACGCCATGAACCGCGCTTTCTGGAGGTAAGACTCACATTCATGTCCATGTGACAGCAAAAAGACTTAGGGGAGTTAATCAGGCCATTGTTCTCCTGTTGGGATTCACCTGTAGTGGTATGTCCATGTTCTACTGTAGGCCACATCTCACCTCATTTGGAGATGGAGGACTCATAAGTGCAAAAAGAGTTAGATGGCTTTTAAAGTGGGGCCAAACACCTAAATTCTGCCCACAACCACATTTCAAATAGAGCTGCTAAACTGGGCAGTACCTGAAGGACTAAAGGGAGAGTGTGGAGGGAAGAGATGCGGAGTCTGGACATGAGGAACAGTGTGAGTGGTCTAACAGGTTTCCTGATTACAAACACTGACTAGCTGTTAATGTACGAGATAACATGAGATTAGCTGCAACTGAATGCGTGTCATCACTAATGTCAGTATCGGATCCGGATACAATTAAGACAAAACAGCAGCGATATCAGTGATACAGACAACATAAGAACACTTCTCAATGAATGTTGTCGAAATAAATAGCCAACCTACTCACATCATGGTCTTTTATCGAAGACAAAGATGCTCCACCGCCATATGAAAAATTCCCGTTATACCCAGTATCCCTTGTGAAGCTGTGCTACCAGGAACAGCCAGTGGACCAGCGCAACTGGACCCTTCTCGACTGGTTTGGTCTGACTTGCAACTACTGCAGCTACTTCAGTGCAAAATTGATTCCAAAAAGACTTTACTTACAAATCACTGCCTCACAGGCCAAAGTAGTCCACAGACTAGACAATGTAATGTCTGGTTTCTCATATAGATGAAGCCCCCTCTCATAAAACTATTCAGTTCAACACATCCCTCCCAGTATATACTTCTATATCCTGTTTCTTGTTTTTTGATTCCAGTTTTTGAATCAGCTAGTGTCTGAATAGACCAAGTTATTGCAAACTGTCCATGGGGAAATACTTTGTCCAGTCCATCTGAAAGAACTGTGACTGTTTGCAGTGAGATGGTGACCTGCTTCAATGAGATCTCAGATGATGAAGAGTGCAGAGTGGTGCTGGTGTCTGGAGCAGGCAAAGTCTTCACATCTGGTGAGTGTGCCCTCTGTGGTCCCCCTGACTAGGCCTGTCACAATAACATGTTTTGTTAAACAATAATACTGAAAATAATTTATGCGCTGACACAATAAACCTAAAGCAAGATTAAGCCCAAAAACTATTGTTCAATAAAAAATAATGAAACAGACATAGTCTCTATAACAGGCAGACAATTATTTTTCCATGGGGCCACATATATATATATATATGTGTGTGTGTATTTTTTTTTAAAGCAGTAAATAACATTGTTTTTTAAGAGTTTATGTTATAATTAAGCAATGAAAAGTGAAGTTGCCTTACAAAAAATGTCATTAAAAAAAGAAAAAAAAAACACCTAAAATAAAAGCAATGCAGCTTTAGTCCATGCATGATGTCAAATTGTAAACTATGTTTATCTTGTAATTCCAAATGAACTTAAACAGGCCAGTTAGAGTCAACCAAAGGACCATGTGTGGCCCAGGAGCTGGACAATGGTCAGGACTGCTGTATATTCACTCCTAAAAGTTACTTGTGGTTGACCTTCAACTGCTCCAGCTGCATGAGACTATAAAAATAACCAAACATATTTTGAGCCTTCAAAAATATACTTCCATCTTTCATGTATTTAGTCAATAGAACTGACCATGACAAGCCTACCTCTGACCACTTCATGATTTTTGTGCCTTAGGGTTGTCCAAAACATACACATTTTCTTTAAAACTAATATACTAGTACAGAATAGACACAAATACAAAAGGAAGTGATTATTTGAGAGACGCTATTCTTTTTGAAAATGACATTCAGTTGTTTTAATCCTCAGTGTGGTCAAAGAATCCCTGTACTTAGGTAATGATTTTAGTGTAAGATGTGAAATGAGATTTTGTGTGCAGGTGTAGACTTGTTCTGACTTGTGCGTGCAGGCATAGATTTAGTAGATGCTGCCAGTACTGTGCTTCAGCCAAGAGGGGACGACACTGCCCGAGTCTCCTGGAACATTCTCAAAATCATTGGCAAATACCAGGAGACCTTCTCCGTCATCGAGAAGGTGAGCTGACTGTGTGGGCTACAAGAACACAAGATTTTAAACAGAACTCCACAATGTATTTCCCCTTAAAGCTGCACTATGTCACTTTTTGTCACCAAAAAACTTTTGGAGGGGGTCAGCTACTTGCTTGGAAATGTTGCTGCTTTGCCTGTATGTTCCACAGTATGGCATTAAACTTGTTTATGTTACAGAGTTTTGTGAAGATGTAATGATATGTAAATGTCACCAATGACATTATTGATTGATGATACTAATTTCAATACCATATCTTGTGTGATACTGTGGAGATGCTAAACGGTATTGAAGAAATGCTCCTTTTTCCTTTTCAAAAGCTTTGCCAAGCCTTTGGTGAACTATATTACTGTTATAGTCCAAAAAATGAAGATTTCTGCATGTTTAGTAGAGCCCAACCGATATGGATTTTGTTGTGGCCGATATGAAACCGATATAATGGGAGTTGGAGCTGCCGATAGCCGATATAATCACTGATAGTGATGTAAAAATTCACTGTAAGTCTTGAACTATTAAAAAAAAAACAACTTAGGTTTGGCTCTTGTGGATTTTAAACTGGGTTTATTTAGGCAACATTTATTGTTATTCTGCCTCTTTACATGATATGTCATAGGACTAAAGCAGGTCTAAGGCAGGTCTAAAGCAGGACTAAACCAGAACTGAACCAGGACTGAAAAAGGACTAAACCAGGACAAAAACAGATCTAAACCATGTGTAAAACAGGACTAAACCAAAACTGAACCGGGACTGAGTGTTGGGACTCGATCTCTATCTCTCCCTCTCTCGACCCCAAGATTAGTCCTGGTTTATTTATTTAATGCTGAATATATTTATGCATGTTCTTTCTCTCCTATGCACACGCAGATTTTTGAAAGTTTCGTTTTGAGTCGCTGCTGCTGTCAAACTCCCACGAGTCTGCACGCAACGTGAAGAGAAAAAAAGTGAGAGAAAGAGAAAACACGGCTCCCAATAAGGATCAGACTCTTGTTGTTCGCTTCAAAGAGCCGACTCTGAGAGCCGCTTCGTTCACGACTGACCCATCACTACTAGCTAGTAAAGAAACAATCGCTATTAGCCTTTAGCTGTAAATGCTGCGCGCCGCGGTATTTAATTATATGCGCAAATTTCATCATTCCCCGTCTATTCACAGCTCATTTACATATCAATGCAGGTCCAGTAACAAATATACGGACAATATAGTCACATTACAACAGGCCAATAGAAAACAGCCTGTTTATGTGCGGGAGCTACAGCACCTAATTTAAGATAACCAATAATAAAGAACAAAAACTAGCTTGAAAGTCGACATATTTCCAACACTCAGTGCTCACACAGGTTCCTCACATCACAAGTCTGCACTAATAAATGTCCTTTTAATCCAGACTCAAACCGATTGTCCGTAAAAAGAAAATAATCTCAGATAAATACTGATGCAGAGCCACGTGTTTGGACATTTATCTGTCTGTAAATTGGATTAAATGAACATAATGTACAGAGTTTAAGATTTATAACGAGGTATAACATGCCCACGTGAAATATCCCCCCCAGCCCCTATCAGCAAACATATCGGCTGAGAGCCGATATGCTTCCATGTGCTCATATCGGCCGGGCTCTAGTGTTTAGTCATTGTTATGTTTTGTGATCTATAGCAATAAATCTCCAAGGAGACAAACAAGTGCAGGTTACACAATGCACCTTTAAGTGACAGTTTAAGTGTGTCATTTGAAAATAATGTATACACGGGCTTTTAAAATGAGTCAGATTCAGTTAAATGAATCTGAACACTGTAGAATTGGTGATGACTGATACATAACATGAAGCGCTGCATCAAAAGTGTTGGTTTGAGGTTTGAACCAACGTGGTTCCTCAAGGAAAGTATACCTGGAGTTTTGTTTCACTTTCCTGGGACCCAGAACACACAATGCTGTAATACTTTACGGAGATGTGTATCTGGAGTTGATTGGTGTAATTGCAGGTGGATTACTGTCAGCAGAGGGCGCTCTAACACAAATCTGAGTCCTTTAACATAGGCCTCAAGCATTAGAAGAGTTCCAAGTGCATGCACTGTTTTACACTCTGAAACATATCAATGTCAAGCAGCCTTACAGCATGTTTAAGAGCCAAAAATGTCTAGAGCATAATAAAACTATGTACTATAGAATGGGAGTAAAGGTTTCAATAATATGTTTGAAAATCGCTCACTCCTGCTGCTGTATCAGTCTCCCTTTTGTGTTTCTTTCAGTGTCCCAAACCTGTGATTGTAGCTGTGCATGGAGCCTGTGTAGGAGGAGGTAGAGTCACACCTACACTTCACATAAGCAGAGCTGTTTGGATATGAATATTTTACTGCTGTTAACTCATAAACCACCACAGTGCCAATATAAAGTCTCACATCTCTAGCCTTGTGGCTGCTGGCTTAAGTTCAAAACACGTTAGCACACTTCCAGACAACTATTTCAGATTTATGGAAAAACTTTTTCTAATATTGATGTGTCACTATCTTTGATTCAATCTATATTTTTTTAAAAAATTAAAAACAGGTATAAGAGTAGTTTTTAATCTTCATTTCATGAATGAAAACAATACAGACTTTTAGTAAATGTCAGATATCTTCCTCCAGACGCTGAACTCCAAACTGCAGGCTTTTCCTGACACAGGACTGGCTCTAGACCTTTCCATGAAAAAGTCTCGACCATTAGAAAGGACTGAATTTCCATCTTGATTCAAATTTGATTCTTTGCACCGGCCTCTTTGCAACCACGGTTCAATATGTAATCAATTAGTACTTAATTAGTACTTGAGTCTCCATGGGAACGTATATGTATAAATAAACAATGCTGTAGTTTAGAACATTACAAACTAAAATCAGTTTAGCAGTAAAATGTGCACTGACAGTACTCAACATGGTGTAGTTGTGTTCCTCCTCTAGAGGGCGCCCCAGAGCAGGAGTATAGCTCACAGTGTATTGAAATGTCCCTGGAGCTGCTGAAAACACCTTTTAACTGCTGTTTTCTGGCAAATAAAATATGACTAAACTCATGCACAGCCATGTGCTAATAAGTAACATTAATTATGGCAAAAGAAAGTTGAATTCAAATGGTTATAAGTAATAACAGACTCTGTTAGCTTCAGTGTAGTTGGCTCCTCTTTTCACACAGATATTTAAGACTAAAGCTGCATCAGGGCTGAAGAAGCTCTTGATGAGTTCTGCAAGTTTATGTTCTTTATGAATGGGCTTGACTTGACACTTGTGTGTGTGGTGCATGTAAAGGCGAGGTTTTGGACTGAGCAAAGTGGGTGTGTTTCAGGTGTGGACCTGATCACAGCCTGTGATATCCGCCTGTGCACGCAGGACGCATGGTTCCAGGTGAAGGTGAGGCTCCTCAGATACCTTCAGACGCTCTGCTGAGGGTGGGGTTGGGTGGGAAGATACGGGCCGTGGAGTGAGGTGGACGGGTGTGGTGAGGCGGTGGACAGGTGCAGTATGGACAGTTGGGGTGAGACAGATGGGTTTGGGCAGACAGGTCAGGAGTGGGGCTAAGAAGTGAGGTGAGACAGGACAGGTGAGGGTTGAGACGGACAGGTGAAAGGTGGGGTGTAGGGGTGAGGTGTAGGCGTACAGGAGAGGCTTAGGCGACAGGTGGGGTGGGGGGGTGATCTGTCTGGGTGCTGACAGGTGTTTGGGTCCTCAGGAGGTGGACATTGGACTGGCAGCAGACGTGGGCACTCTCCAGAGACTCCCTAAAGTCATTGGCAGCCGTAGGTGAGAACATAAAGGGACTGTCTGTATTCTGATAATGTACTTGTTGTACACCACACAGTTTGAACTGGGTTTACATGTTGTCACTGCAGTGTGCCAACTTAAGAGTGGCTTGGAGCTGCATTTAAAGTGGGATAAAACACCTAAATTCTACCCACGGACACGTTTCAAATAGAGCTGCTAAACTGAGCAGGAGGAAGGGAGGAGGGATGGGGTTTGGAGGTATAAAGAACAGTGTGATTGGTTTCACAGGTATCCACACTTCAAACTCTGCCCTGTGCTGTCTCCAGTGGATACTGCTGTTTCACTGAAGGCAGCACTGGGGAGCAGTTTGAAGTGTCACTGGCACCAAACCGAGATTAAGACAATTTGACCTGAAAGCTGCAAATGTTCCTAGTTTGCACTAAAGCTGCCAAAGGATTGACAAAGGAACAGTAAATAGTACAATAAAAACCCATGTACAGTTTAACTTCACACAAATGTTTGTGTCTAGTTCCACTTTACTCATGACTAAACTGTCTTTAAATCAGGACTAAACTTAAGAGTATCTGACACTGCTCTGTGTGTGCAGTTTGGTGAATGAGCTGGCCCTCACTGCTCGGAAGATGTACGCAGACGAGGCCCGTGACTGTGGACTGGTCAGGTGTGGTACTCTACAATCACATCACACTGATAAAGAATCCAGTGTGCTAGAATGTCTGTTTAAAGCACAACTAAGGCTTTAAAAAAAAAAAAAAAGGCAGTGTCATCACATACAAACACATATAAGACGGCCAAATATAAAAAAGAGACAGGTTTTCTCAGGAGAACTCTTGATGTCATTTGCCATTTTGCAAGGATGGAGAGAAACGACTATGAAAATATTTAAAGGTACTACATTATGCACCATTGGCTCTTTTAAGCCATGATATAATGCTCTTACCTCCTCAAAAACATACCTGGAGTTTTAGTCTCACATTTTGAGTAATCTTTGAATAATCTTTGAATTGTCTGTCTACATCTCCAGAGCTGAAAATGCTCCGTTCCATCTTGTGTTGCTGTTTAGCACTAGTTTTCCAGTTAACAGCTCTTTTTATATTCAGAAATGAAATTGTCCCAATGATTCTAGTGAAGGTGTATGGAGTTTAAAAACACAGTGGAGCACTTCCTGTATTTACCACATGACATCACAAGATGGAAGTGTTTTCTGTTTGAGAGAACTACACATGCAGGGTTTAGTTTATGTGAATATGTAGAATATGAGCCCATTAACCATCACAGGAACTGAAGGTAAAAAGGTGTTTAATGAGGTAAATGTTGTGGATCAAACAGAAAGGCAAAGACAAGGTATAAAAATAAGTTTAAATTTTATAAAGTCAAAAAAAGATATAATTTAACAAAGGCTCAAATTAGGCAAATTACTAACAAAAAAGCTGGGCCCAATGGGGAAACTCAAATCGAACTGAACAGAACAAAACTAACCAACCAGACAAAGGAACAGGCTGTTTAAATACACGAGGACCAACTAAAACTAAACACAAGTCCTGTAATGATGCTTGGAAAAAAGTTCTGCCCAGTGGGTTTGAATTGTCTTCTCTGTCCCCCCTGTGTCCTCTCTGTCCCCCTGTGTCCTCTCTGTCCCCCTGTGTCCTCTCTGTCCCCCTGTGTCCTCTCTGTCCCCCTGTGTCCTCTCTGTCCCCTGTGTCCTCTCTGTCCCCCTGTGTCCTCTCTGTCCCCCTGTGTCCTCTCTGTCCCCTTGTGTGTGTGCAGTCGTGTGTTCGTGGACAAAGAGGCGATGATGGCAGCTGCTCTGGAGATGGCGGGGCAGATCTCGGCTCGCAGCCCTGTGGCCGTCCAGGGCACCAAAGTCAACCTGGTGTACTCCCGAGACCACAGCGTCCAGGAGGGCCTCACCTACATGGTACCAGCTGCAGTCTCAGTCACTACTGTTACATGCACACATTAGTGTCGTGTGTCTCCAGTCCACAGCAGAATACACAACCCAATAGGTGCCAACAGGGGCTACGAGGCGTTCAGGGGCGTCTAGTCGTTTAGAATTAGTGATAAACCTTGACAAGGATTTGCAAAATCTAATTTACACTGAACATTTGGATGCTATGAAGTTTGTTACTCGTAAGTTCAAATAAACACATTAAATCTTGTAGTAACTTTCATGTTATCCAAATAAATGAAACAACATAAACTAGTCTGATGTGGAGGAGCTGTAGTTTGTCTCTGATCTAAAATGAGTAAATGCCCAAACACGTCTAATATTTTCCTCACTGTTCTTACCTTGTGCAGCTGAATGCCTCTCCTAGTCTGCTCCTAATGTAAATCAGACTGTGCTGTTACATGCAGCAGATATGTGGTTTTGCTGCCGTGCATGTGAACGTAGTGTGTGTGATACAGGGATGGCAGGTGCACCTGTGTCTGACCCTGTCTGTGCTCCTGTCCTCAGGCGGCGTGGAACATGAGCATGCTGCAGACCCAGGATGTGATGAAGTCGGCCCAGGCCGCCATGGAGAAGAAGGGCCCTGAGAGCATCACCTTCTCCAAACTGTGACCTTCCTCAGGCCTCAACACACTGACTGTGCCTTTGCTCATATGTGATTATTTAATGATTCATACTCATGATTCGGCATTAATAAAATGCTAAACAAAAGTTGAATTGTCAACCTGTTGTGCCTCTTTTTTATTTTTATTTAGTTTTCAGTGGGACAATGTAAATTAATACATTTTACAATAATGTAAATGTGCCCAAATTAGCCAAGAGGTAGAAACAGACTCCCTAAAAGTTCATAAATTCATGTAAAATTTATTTTGTTAAAATACAAGTACAACTAATGTTCAAATACTCTTATATGTTTTCATGATCATAAAAAACATGAGAAAAATATCTGTCTAAACTTTTAGTGCTCCCATTTTTGTGATTCAGTGAGTCACTTTTTGGCATTTCCTTGTTTGTTAGATTGACACTTCTAAAGGAGGAAAGAGGAGGTGGAGCTAAACCATGTACAATTTGACACACTAGACAAATATGATGCAGTTTCAGAAGGTTGTCCCAACTCAGGAATTAGTGTTTGTGGATGATGTGATGGTGGTGAGAGTGCTGAGGGGCTTCCTGTCTAATACTTTCACTGATGATGATTGCAGAGGTTTTCTGGTTGACTGGCGAGTGTCAAGTGCTGAGACAATATGAGTAAGGATCATGGAGTGAAGGGACATTTTAGCAGCTGGTTAACAAATCTGAAATTTTATAGGTTTGGATGAATTTTCTTTTTTATCATCGACATGGACTTTGAACAGATGAGAATCAATGTGCAGACTGAGAAATTTGAATTTGTTTCTATTTTTTGTTCAACAATATAAATATTTGATTGTGAGTTTAGATGATTCTTGAAAAAACAAAACAAAAAAACAACAACATACCAACTGTTTCTGAAACATTCATTTATGGGTGTATAGTTTTAAACACTGGCAATACTACTGCAGCTTATTCTTTGGAATACTATGAGGATTAGAGTGCTTTTTTTTTTTTTTTTTAGGTTTTCTTGAAATTTCTATCATATTATGATCAGACAAGCCAGTTATAAAGTCATAAAGGAGCAGTGTTTAGTGAGCACATTTTCTGTTTTAAACCTATTGTGCCTCTTTTTAAAAGTGTTTAGTCTGCATTTTTACGGTTACATGTGTTCATGGCTTTCAGTTTCCTGATATCATTTTGAGGACTTTCTTCCATTCAAAAGGTATCATGTGTTTATATATATTATACATTTTAAATGAAATGATAAATTATTATAACTTGATCATCACTGTGGCAACAGTCCTAATTTTTCATCAGTCTGAAACCTGTGGATAAATGACACATCCAAGTGTCTCATTCTCAATGTATGAACAGGTCTCATGTGAAGCTCAGAACCTCCAGAATTCCCTCCATGAGCTGCAGAGGCTGCACTAGCACTGACTCATGACTGGTGCAGGTGCTGGGGCTTAGGGAGAGACTGTTCAGATCAGAGAGACATTTTTGATTTAAAACAACTGGATTCCAGAATTGAACCAGCAACCCAACAAGCATCTTGGTCATGTGCATTTTTTTGTAATTGAGAATAAATCAGCATTAATTGTTACAAGCTACATGTGACTGATGTTCTCCTCATATCTGGGGACACAGATAGGTCATGGTTATGGAATTTAAAGGTCCTATATCACATCAAATGGACTCTTGTGAACAATGTTATAAAGTTGTTACCTCCTCAAAACAGACCTGTGATTGTGTTTTGTTTCATTCACACTTGTTAGGGTCAGCAATGGGGTCAGATGGGGGGATTCTGTCCCCAGTTTTATTTAATTTGTATCTAGATGAATTGTCAACAAAGCTTAGAACATCTAAAACAAGTTGTGTGGCTGGAAATTGTATTGTGAATCATTTAATGTATGCAGATGATTTGGTTATTTTCAGTCCGAGCACCTCTGGTCTCCAGCAGCTACTTAACATGTGTTCATCTCACGGTGTGGAGCATGATCTAAAGTATAATGCAACCAAGAGTACGGTCATGATCTGTAGGACCAAAGAAGATAAGCACATGGGATTTCCTGACTTTTGCCTGTCAAATGTTGTGTTGTCTGTTACAACAAAAATTAAATATCTGGGGCAGATCATCAGTGCGGACATGATAGATGATGATGACATGTACAGACAGTGTAGGACGATCTATGCTCAGGCAAATATTCTTATGCGTAAGTTTGGTTCTTGTACAAATGATGTAAAGTTGTTATTGTTTAAATCTTATTGTACAGCCTTGTACACAGCTCACCTCTGGACTAATTATAAAAAAGCCAGTTTACAAAGACTGCAGGTGTTTACAATGAGGCTTTACGGAGCTTTTGAGGAGCCACGATGGACGAGTGCGACTGAAATGTTTGTTACTGCACGAGTGAACACTTTGGAAGCTGCACTAAGAATTTTAATGTATAGTTTTATCTGCAGACTGAACAAATCAGACAATGAAATAATAATGTCAATCACAAATTTGAGATTCAGTGCAATAAGGTATCAGTCCAACATGTGGAGACACTGGTGTGTTTTTCTTTTAAAAACATGAATGTTTATTGTTTTGTATTGTCACTGTCCTTGTCTGTTTTTTAAATGGACCATGAGTCCGGAATAAAGATGATGATGATGATGATGATGAGTAACACGTTATTATTAGTCTGTCTAGTTAGTTCAGTAGAACAGTAGGAGGTTTAAAACACGTGAAGCAATTTCTGTATTACCACATGACATCACAAGGTGGAACAGAGTGTTTTCTGTCTGAGAGAAGAACTCAGACTAAATGTGCAGAATTTATGTGTTAAACATGTGTGAATGAAGAAAACATAACTCCAGGTCTGTTTTAGGAGGAAACATCAGAACATAAATTAGAAAATAGTGTCACATGGGCCCCTTAAAATCAAACTCGTACATACGGTTCCTTTAATATTGTTATGTCACAAGTTGTCGTGACAAATATGTGGTACAACGTGAAATTCACAGTTGAGTGGACTTGTGTTCATGTTATGTAAATATATTTCTTATATAATGTGAGCTCAGCTGTAGACCATGGGCACAGGGGCCAGTACTCCTCCGTCAGTACTATCCCTGCACACCTTCTGCGTCTCAAACGTGGCCTTCTGGATTGATCCACAGACTTAGTTGAGGCGGGGACGTGTTTCTTGTGAATGCTGGTGTGCACGCTCAAGTGCAGAAGAGCAGACGCACATGCGCAGTGAGCTCAGAGCATCACCGAGGCGCACGGACGGAGCACATCTTCGCAGCATCCGCGGCTCAGGTAAATGCCCCAAATCCTGCTTTATCACGACCTTCTTTAACGACCTCCTGCGTGACGGGTCCATGTTTAGACTTCGGGGTAACAGTGGTGTTTTGCTGCGAATCCGTGAGGGACAATGGCGTTACGTGCAGGCGAAGACACGGTGGAGCGCAGGGACAGATCCGTGACAAACAAAGACCCAAAAAAGGCACAATCAGAGTCTAATCGCGATCCAGAGGTTGAGTGATGCTCTGGAGCTCTGACGGGGTCTGCCTCCATCCGTGTGCGGGGTTTCATGCGTGTTTTGGGGCGTGAACCAAGAGGCCCGGACTACGCACTTTGGCAGCGGATGGAGGGACGGATGGAGAGATGGATGCAGAGATGGGAGGAGGAGTGTTTTCTATGAGGGTGACCAGAGCGTCCTGCGCTCCGCGGGACTTGGGTCGTGACAGCGGGCGTAGGGGCGCAGTGCTCGGTGTGGTGGATGGGCTGTGGTTGTTTTGGTGCGTGTGGAAAATGGAGACTGGGGAAGGTGCCATGGCCGCCACCCGCATCACGCTCTACGTCACGCTTTGTCAACATAAACCTCCAAATCCACATATGAATCACCATCATCACTTTACAATTGAAGCAGAAATCATGTTTGTGTGAACTGATTTTTTGAAAAAAGCTATTTTTTTTGCTCTTTATCTGCACGGCGTTGTTGAGTGCGCGTTTCTGTCACGTTCAGATTGAATTTGACGTTAAAATGCTGGACACCATAGAAATCCACAGTGAGAGAGCAGTTGTTCATAAGGAGGATGGCTGAAATAGGCCTACTCAGTTTTGCTGCTGAAAGGTCCTGTAGCCAATTACCAGTGTTGGGAAGGTTACTTTTAAAATGTATTCCCCTACTGATTACAGATTACATACACCAAAATGTAGTTTGTAACATAATCCATTAAATTACTTAAAGTGAGTAACGTAATCTGAATACTTTGGATTACTTGATATTGTCATGCTTTTTAAAACTACATGAATGTTGCAACCACATCCTGAAAATTCATGTTTGTTCTCTTCAAATTGGCCCTGGTTTAGACCTGGTTTAAAACTGGTTTAGACCTGGTTTAGTCCTGGTTTAGACCTGGTTTAGACCTGATTTTAGTCCTGGTTTAAAACTGGTTTAGTCCTGGTTTAGACCAAATTTTAGACCTGGTTTAGTCCTGGTTTAAAACTGGTTTAGACCTGGTTTAGTCCTGGTTTAGACCAAATTTTAGACCTGGTTTAGACCTGGTTTAGATCTGGTTTAGTCCTGCTTTAGTTCCGGTTTAGACCTGGTTTTAGTCCTGGTTTAGTCCTGCTTTAGTCCTGGTTTAGACCTGGTTTTGTCCTGGTTTAGCCCAAAATGTGAAAACAGTAAAATACCGCTGTGTAATCCGTTTATCTCAACAAAGTAACTGTAATCCAATTACCTCTCACTGAAACAGTAACTGTAACTGAATACAGTTACTCATAATTTATACTCTGATTACGTAACTCTGGTACATGTAATCTGTTACTCCCCAACACTGCCAATTTCACCAAATTCTTGTGCGCTTTAAACCACGTTAGAATGTTGTTACCTTCTCAAAAACAGACTTGGAGTTGTTTTTGTTTCGTTCACATGTTTGAGGAATTCTGCATTATTAGTCTATCTACATCTCTAAAGCTCAAAATACTCTCTTCCACCTTGTGATGTCATAAAGTGGTAGTTTTCAAGTTCGTTTAGTTTTGGGGCTGAAATTATCCAAATAATTCACGATAGCGATTGTGTTTGGAGACAAGACACAGAAAAGACAGTGGAGCACTTCTTGTATCACATGACGTGGTGATACACATCACGTGTTTTCTGTCTGAGAAAAGAACTCAGACTAAATGTGCAGGTTTGTGTGTTAAACATGTGAATGAAACAAAACACAACTCCAGGTCTGTTTGTGGTGATTAAATGACATTAAAACCAAGATCAGAAAATACTCTTAATACAGACATGAACAAAATTGTTGGTGCTCCTCTGGTAATGCAAGAAAAATCAACAATGGTCACTGAAATAACTTGAAACTAAGAAAAGCAATAATAAATACACATTTCCTGAAAAATAACCAATGAAAATTAGACACTGTTTTTGAATTGTTGTTTTACAGAATAATTAAAACAAAAACAAACTAATGAAACTGGCCTGGACAAAAATGATGTTCCCCTAGAAAAGATTGTAAATATTTGGACAATAGGGACATGTTAAACTTTGGTGTGTCTCTAATCTGCATCACAGGTTCTTCAAACTTGTCCTCAGTCAGTCTGTCTGTTTAAAGGGGGACATGTGTCATTGTGCTGTTTGGAGACATGATGGACACAACACTGAACATGGAGCAGAGAAAGAGAAGAAGAGAACTGTGTCAGGAGACTAGAAAGAAAATAATAGACAAGCAGGTTAAAGATAAAGACAATAAGACCATCTCCAAGCAGCTGATGTTCCTGTGATTACAGTTACACATGTTCTTCACAAGTTTAAGGTTCACAGGACTGAAGCCAACCTCCCTGGATGTGACAAAAGAGGAAAATTTATAACAAATTGAAGAGATGGATCATACAAATGGAACCAAAGAGCTCAAAACAACCTCCAAAGAAATTAAATGTGAACTTGAAGGGCAAAGTACATCAGTGTCAGATCACACCATCCATCTGTGTTTGAACCAAAGTGCAGTTCATGTGAGGACACCACTGCTGAGAGCAAATCATAACAAAGTGAGATTGGAATTTGTCACAATGCATATTAACAAGCCACAAAGCTTCTGGGAGAATGTCCTTTGGACAGATGAGATAAAAGTGGAGCTCTTTGGCAAGACACATCAGCTCTATGTTCACAGACGCAAAAATGAAACACACCAAGAAAAGAACACTGTTCCTACTGTGAAACATGGAGGAGACTTGGTTTTGTTCTGGGGCTGTTTTGCTGCATCTGGCACAGGGTGTCTTGAATCTGTGCAGGGTACAACGAAATCTGACAACTATCAAGGTATTTTGGACCAAAATGTGTTGCCTAGTGTCAGAAAACTTGGTCTGAGTCGTAGATCATTGTTCTTCCAACAGGATAATGACCCAAAACACACAACTAAAAACACACAAGAATGACTAAGAACAAAACACTGGACTGTTCTGGAGTGTTCTTCTGTGAGCCCAGATCTCAATTCTACTGAACATCTGTGAAAGGAGCTGAAACATGCTGTCTGGAGAAGGAACCCTTCAAACCTGAGACAACTAGAGCAGTTTGCTCACGTGGAGTGGGTCAAAATACCAGTTGACCAGAGCAGAAGTCTCACTGACAGTTACAGGCCAGTTTCTTTATTTTGTTTTTTCTAATGATTCTGTTGAACCAGAGGTGAAAAACAATGTTTGATTTTCGTTGGACAATTTTCAGTACAGTTTTATTTATCATTGCTTTTATCAGTTATTTCAGTGACCATTGTTCATTTTTCTTTCATTGCCAGAGGGGTACCAACAATTTTGTCCACGTCTGATTACTGTAGGTTCTTTAAGTAAAAGCACAGATGGGTGAGAGGCAAATATTTAGCCTACTCAAGTAAAAGTAAAACTACGGCCTATCACATACATACATCTAGACTTACTCAAGTAAAAGTGCTCGAGGAGACTACCTGTTTAAAATGAACTGAAGAGTAAAAGTATTTGACACAGGTTTGAGGACTCTTTCAGTGATCATGTCGTCATGTTGATCAAGAATTGTGCAGTTTTTTTTGGTTGACAGCAGCAATATGAATGTCTTAGTAGAAAGTACTGATAACTGCGTTTAACTGTAGTGAAGTAAAAAGTATCCATAGTACAGATACCTACAAATTGTATAGAAAGTAGTTTGATAGTACTTTTACTTTTATACTTCATTATGTTTCAGCGCTGTGAAAGTGTGAGCAGACTGCCCTGTAGTCATCATAAACTATTCATGAACAGTCAGAGTTGTATTTGGAGTGATTCTGGCATGTTTGAGTCAACTCGAATCGCTTATTATATAACCTGCACCTGAGTACAGTGTTTCATTTCTGTGTATTTTTATCCTGATATGGACCTCCTATTGCTCACACACTCGCTCACACACAGTCGCACACCACCTTGGACTTTTTAGAGCATGTTATAGTTGTTTTCCCTCACCATTTACTCACTCAAAGTTGTATTTGGAGTTATTCTGCCATGTTTGACTCAACTTTAATCACTTATTCTCAAGATGCTATTTTGCAGGTCAACCCTTGTTTTCACCTCCTCCTGTACACGCCCACTGTGACTTTTATCTTCTTAATCTGTGATATTCGTAGGATTCGGCAGTGTCATGTAGTCAGTTTGGTGGCAGAAGTCAGCGTGCTCGTTTCTTTTCTGAAGTGGTTTTAGCCCAGTAGGTCTGCATTAACTATGTTCTGTTGAAATACTAACGTGTCATGTGCTCTTTAAGGTCCACAACCATGACAAAAGAGGAGGAGCTTGTGACGGAGAGACAGGAGGAAGAGGCGGTCCAGAGGAGTGAGGACGGAGACACAGAGGATGAGGACCCGGAGGTGGACAGAGACGAGCCGGAGGACACACACGAAGAGCCGGAGCAGGAGGAAAGGGACACGCTGGAGGACAGGGACATGCAGGAGGACGGGGACCAGCTGGAGGACAGGGATGACGAGGGCGACGGGCCTGCAGATGAGAGGGACCTGGCAGAGGACCAGAGTCTGCCTGAGTATGTCCCCGTGGACCCGGGACAGGAGAGACGGCGACCCAAAGTGCACCCGTCCGCCCTCGCCCCACTGCCCAAAGACTACGGTAAGGCTGAAGGTTTCCATGGAAACATGAACTAGACTGTACAGGATTATGTGCCAAAAGTACTGTTGCCATGGCAATTAAAAATCCAAATTACAAGACTAAATTAAGATTAGTCTGACATGTGAGGATTAGAGATATGACTAATAATTGATTTAAAGCTACACTGTGTAACTTTTATGGTGCAGGGTCTATTTGTCTCCATGGATACACTATTATGCTCTGCCTGGAAGATTCCACAGTACACTTTATTCAACCTTTCTTGTATTAATTCAATTACTGGTGCTTTAATGCTGATAAAAAACCTTGAAAAACATTTTGTAGCATTCTTGCCACAGGGGATTCACCTCTCTACAGATCTGAACTGTAACCTGGTGGTGTTACCCCCATGTTTCCATGGAGATAGATCAGTTTGTCCTTCCCTCTACTAGAAAAGTTACATAGTGCAATTTTAAATAAGAATTCCAATGTGTTGCTGTGGCAAACCTGACTCATCATCACATTTTTGAAAAAGTAAAAGTACACATGAAAAGTACTACTCAAAGTACAAGTTATGTTTTACTCAGTTTTCATAACATTTGAGATCAGTCTTCTATACAAAGTGTGTGGAAGTGGAATTAAATACAAACCACAGCTCTGTCCAATCAGAGCAGACCACACAGTGCTGTTGTTTTTGTCATTCATGAGCTACAGGTGACATTCTGAGGACTTTTCTCTGCTCAAAACCTATTATATTTTGTTTAAAAGTGTTAATCTCGGTGAGTTTTTTTTTTCTTTTTTGTTCATCATTCTGAAAGAGACAGTGAGAGAGCTGTGGATCAGGATCAGTGCTCTTACAGTTACACCATAATAATTACACAGTGAACTCTGTAGGGCTGTAGGCCTTTGACTGTTTAGTTCATTCACCACTGGATGGTGTCTTGGTCCACTCATCATTTTATACAGATTATAAAGAATATTGTGGACACCAGCAGAATGGAGACAGTAGGGATTGGATTATCTAAAGATATGGGGGTGAATTCATCAGATTTCTTACATATAAATACACTGTTGTCCCTTTTCTACATAAACAGCACAAGCTCATCCTGCAGGTGTAGTCTTGTGAGTGTACTTTGGGTCAGATAGAGATACAGAACTGTTTTGAGAGCTTTAGCCACACCCCCCCTTTGTAGTCGACCAATCGATCGGCAGCATAACAAGACTTTCTTTAACAATGACAGCCGTACTACTCCATTACAAGTACATGGGTATGTTTCAAAACACACAGTTACAGTGACGTTAGTTAATATTTGTAATGAGTTTCTGATACTGGTGGATGGAGTGTGGTGCAGAGAAAAGAGTGAAGCTCAGCTCTCGTCCCTGGGGCTCTGCTGACAGACTCACACAGCCCTGATCCACCACAGCTCCATCAGGACAACAGGCTCATCCACAGCAAATCACACGAACTCCACTTATTTATGTCACACCATTTATTCTGCAAACAGCAAAATATTACTGTATGTCTTTCATAACCTATAACACTGTAGCTTCGACCTACAAACATATTCTGAAATGTTTCTGTGTCAGATACCCTCCCTGTGTCTCCATGGGGTCTTATTCTGTGTAAAAGCTGCGAACCCTGTAGTTTAGACCTCTATGTTCTATGTTCTGAAATGCCTGGGCTTCCTGATTGAGTTTAGCAGTAGATATTACAGTCTTCTCTCAGATGTTAAAGGTGCATTGTGGAACTTTTCTGGTAGAGCTCTTGTCAAATGCTTTTTTCCATGGAGATGTTATTGCTTTGTCTGGAATGTTTCACAGTATGGTGTTCATACTTTCTTTCTTCTAGGTATGTTTGAGCTCTAAAACCACCTGTAATTAAATAAATGTAAAGTAGAGCTGTTTAATATCACACTGTGGAACATTCCAGGCAGAGCAATGATATCTCTATAGAAACAAGCAGGTGATGGACCCCAATCACAAAGTTGCACAATGCACCTTTAAGAATCCTACAGTTAAAACACAAATCACAACAGTAGCACAGTTGGTGGAGCGTTCACCCACTGATCCAGAGGTTGGTGGTTCAGTTCTTGTTCTTGACATAAAAAGCGAGTGGTCACATCCACTGACCCACAGACGAATGCTACTGTTGTGTCCTTGGGTGTGTGTGTACTCTGGTGTATGAGTGTGTGTGAATGGGTGAGTGCTTCCTTCAGGTAAAGAGCGTAAAGTGCCTTAAAAGTGGAAAAGTGCTATATAAAAATTTAAGTAAGTTTTTTATTTATATAGCACTTTTCACAGACATTTGTCACAAAGATGCTTTACAGAGCATTATTCAGTCACTTCAGACATGGTGATAAGTGATGGTAAGCTACTATTGGATCCACAGCTGCCCTGGGGCAGGCTGACTGAAGCGCGGCTGCCAATCAGCGCCATCAGTCTCTTAGACCACCACCAACACTCATGCACACACCACTTTCATACTAGGCAATGTGGGTGAAGTGCCTTGCCTTAAGACACAACAGCAGTTTTTTACCACTGGTGCCCCCTGTGGCAGCTTTTCCCACCAGTCTCCCTTTGGAGTAACCAGGCCCAGCTGTGCCAGCTTCTGAGGTCTGAACAAATCAGGCTTTGACAAAGAGACTTGGCCACAGTAAGTAATAATATGTTCCATTCTGCTCTGATTTTTGCTCATGTCAATATTTCAAAACCCAAAGCCCACATTCTGAAGCTAAAGCTTACTTTTAACTTTTGTTAAAGCCTGACTGTGTAACATGAGACATGTGTAATATAATACATAGAGTTAGGGTCTCATAGTTGTGTTTATTTCACTGATATTTTCATCCTTACTGAGAGTGGGCTTGCATCTCCACAAACCTGACTCTTATTTGTCCTGGAGGAGAGCCTCTGTCTTGTTTCCATGGAAATGTTGTTCCTTTGGCTTTAATATTCCACAATATGGCATTAAACTTATCTATCTCCATGGAGAATGTTCCTGAGTATGTTTTTATTTAACTCTCTATTTCCATGGAATCATGCAGTTGACTGTGAGGTGTAGTCCACCTGCAGAAAGATACACAGTGTTACAAAATATACTGATGTGGGGAAGTAATGGTCATAATTATGCTGTATTTTTCTTTCGATGTGTCTAAACAATCACAGATACAGTGGAAATAGAGGAGCAGCTAGAGGAGGCAGAGTCACATAGCAAAACACATTCTGTTCTATCACACATTAACACTTGTACATTTTTTTTACCACAACTTCTTCAATTTGTGAACATTTTAAAATATCAGTCCCAGCTAATAGTGGATTTCGGTCCCAACACCATGACTGTATGGGATATGGGTATGACCTGAAAAGCTCCATCTGGGCCCCTCCCTCTGACAGTGGTGTGTGCTCTTGTGTCCCTTGTGTTCCAGCTTTCACCTTCTTTGACCCCAATGACCCCGGCTGTTACCAGATCCTGACTGACCCCCAGACCACTGTCCCTCAGCTCTTTGCCATCGTCAGGCAGTGGGTCCCCCAGGTGCAGCACAAGATTGACATCATCGGCTCTGAGGTAGGGCCCTCACATACACACGCACACACACACTCACCCACACTCACACCCAGGCATGCACGCACACACACACACACACAGGCATGCGCGCACACACACACACACGCACATGCACACGAACACACACAATTCATTTCCTGCAGACTGATCCTAACCTTTTAACCTAAACCATGAACTTTACCTAAACGTCACCTGATCTTAGAGCATGTTGTAATCATGAATCATGAATCTGATTTTTGGTCCTCTCAAAGCAAAAGGTTCCACTGAGCTCATCATGTTTGTTGTCATAGTAACGCACTGTGTACTGATCATGCTCTGCATAACAGCCCTGTTTTGTCCTGTCAGATCCTGAAGCGTGGTTGCCATGTGAACGACCGCGATGGGCTCACAGACATGACTCTGCTCCACTACAGCTGTAAGGCCGGGGCCCACGGAGTCGGTAAGAATGCTACAGGTGCCAGGAGACACACTAGGTCATTGTACAGGGGCCACACCACATCACTGTACAGGGGCCACACACTGGATCAGTCATGAAGATTGGGTCAAGAATGTCGTGCCTGCACAGAGAGCCAGAGGCCCTTAGAGCCCCTCTCTCTGATGTACTCTCTCTTGTGTACAGGGGAGCCAGGGGCCGCTCTTCGCCTCACTTCACAACTCCTGTCTCTGGGGGCCGAAGTGAGCCTGAGGAGCCGCTGGACAAACATGAATGCTCTGCACTACGCCGCGTACTTCGACGTACCAGAGCTGATCCGTGTACTGCTGCGAGCCGCCAAGCCCAGAGGTACTCCTGCTGTAGTATGTTCAGTACATGCACAGAACCACACGCCGCCAGGGGCCGCCAGGGAAAGGACCTGTTAGCTTGGTAGCTTTAGCTCATTCATTTCATCTCTGCTCTGTGTCCAGACGGTTTGAGTTTGTGAGTTATGAGTCATGCTGTGTCAAAAAGATCAGCGCTCACAAATAGAAGCATGACTCAGCAGACAGACTGTTGTGTCTTTGGCCTAAATATTTTAAATGTAATACTGATTTCTCTCAAGTGCTTTGTGACACTTCAGGTGGGTTCATTTAGGTGCAGTGTTTATTATTGCACATTATCGGACTGTGTAGGTTATAACTGAGAACAACTGCACAACATTCTTTTTAACATAATATAGTAAATAGTATAGATAGAATAATTCATTGAATTACATCCCTTTACACTTTTGTATTACTGTCACTATTTGCATGCCTGCCTCATGAATCTCATTCTAGTCATCCTGTAGTAGGTCATGTACGGTGCCGTCTGTGACCTTAACCTGTGTGTCTCCTCAGTGCTCAACTCCACGTGCAGTGACTTCCACTACGGCACGGCCCTCCACATCGCAGCCTCCAACCTGTGCCTGGGGGCAGCCAAGTGTTTGCTGGAGCATGGGGCCAACCCCACTGTCCGGGTACGCACCAGCACCGGGCACACAGCCCACAACAGGACAGGACAATGTTTACTCATCACACACATATAATAATGTTCCACAGTGTAGCATAACACTTGTATAGGTTACACTGATTCATTGTTTGTGTGACATGTGAGACAGTCCAGGCAAAACAGACACACTCCTTTGAGAGCAGGCAGCAGACACTCCACCAGAAAAGTGACACAGTGTATCTTTAAAGAGCAACATACTGATCCACTGAGCTACTGCCGCCCCAGTAGCTCAGTTGGTAGAGCATTTTGCCCACTGATCTGAAGGTTGGTGGTTCGATTCCAGCTCTCGACATAAAACATCATTGGTTGAGCGTTCAGATCCACTGGCCCACAGGTTGGCTGGTGTGATTCCAGCTCCCACAGATGAATGCTGTCGTTGTGTCCTTGGGCAAGACACTTAACCCACCTTGCCCACAGTGTCTGTGTACAGTGGTGTGTGAATGGGTGAGTGGTTTCTTGTTGTAAAGCGCTTTGAGTGCCTTGAAGGTGGAAAAGTGCTATAGAAAAATGTGACCATTTACCATTTACCATCTAGTGACAATTCACAAAAAAAGTTCACAGATTTAGAATATATCTGATAAAGCAACAAAACATTCTAAAATAAAAGCTTTTTCATTGCTTGCTACTGTCAGTCTGCCCCAAGGCAGATGTGGCTACAATAGTATCTTCCCCCACCAGAGTGTAGTGCATGAATACTGCACTCTCCAACTGTGGGTGTCTTGAAAGGCTCTATATAAATCCAATGAGGAATGAATGAAGGACGTTATAAGAACAGGACCTTCTACCAGTCCTACTGTCTGAACTCTCTTCTGGAGCACTGGAGCTGTTTGCAGTCTCCACGCATCTGAATACTCTGTGTGTGTGTTTAGAACGAGAGGGGCCAGGTGCCTGCAGAGGTGGTCCCGGATCCCATGGACATGAGTCTGGACAAAGCTGAGGCAGCTCTGGTGGCCAAAGAGCTGAGGCAGATCCTCCAGGACGCGGTTCCTTTGAGCTGTAACCTGCCGCGCGTCACCTTGCCCAACTACGACAACATCCCCGGGACCCTCATGCTCTCCTCCATGGGCCTCAAGCTGGGGGACCGTGTGCTGCTGGACAACCAGAAGGTCCACTCTCACAATGTGTCCTCTCTCCTCTCTCCTCTGACCCTCTTTTGGCTCCTCTAACCCTCTCCTCTCTCCTCTGACCCTCTCCTTTATCCTCTGACCTTCTCTCTGTTCTTCTGTTCTTCTGTTCCTCTGACCCTCTCCTTTATCCTCTGACCTTCTCTCTGTTCCTCTGTTCCTCTGACCCTCTCCTTTATCCTCTGACCTTCTCTCTGTTCTTCTGTTCTTCTGTTCCTCTGACCCTCTCCTTTATCCTCTGACCTTCTCTCTGTTCTTCTGTTCCTCTGTTCCTCTGACCCTCTCCTCTCTCCTCTGTTCTCAGGTGGGCACCCTTCGGTTCTGTGGGCCCACAGAGTTCGCCAGTGGGCTGTGGGTGGGGGTGGAGCTGGATGAGCCTGAGGGGAAAAACGATGGCAGTGTGGGGGGAGTCCGCTACTTCATCTGCCCCCCCAAACTGGGTAAGTCTGCCCTGCACCCTGGGATCCAGTCCCACATCAAGTCAAGCCATTTTTAATCAACTTTATGGCTTTTTATCCACTAAGTCTGTTCACTTCTATACTATACTATGGAACTTTTCTGGTGGAGGACCTGATACTTCAGTGTCTCCGTAGGGATTGTATAGCATTGTCTAGAATGTTTCACAGTATGGCATTATGCTTAACTATCTCCAACAGGCCAAGTGACAGGTCATGTGGATGAGGTGTTTAATTTAATATCACACTGGGGAATATATATATATATATATATATATATATATATATATATATATATATATATATATATATATATATCCTGACATGGGTGACATTTTGATGTCATTTTTCAATTATTGAAGGAAACATATTTTGCAAAGGCAACTTGTAAACATGTTCTAACAGTCCACTCGTGTAGACTGTCTGAGTTCTGAGTTCTGATTCAGGTTCCTGTCATTTTCAGCTCTTCAAAAGCCCCTGGGACTTTACTTAAACCACTTGAATTCGAGCCTGTTGGAGCAAAGAGGATTTTAAAAGCTCCAGTTCTGTTTTTCATGAAAATAGTTTATCTGTTGTAAAAAACCCAACTTAGAGGTGCACTGTGTAACTTTTTTCATGGTTGCCCTTTACCTGCTTGTCTCCAAGGAGATGGCATTGGTATGGCTGGAGTTTTTCACAGTTTGGCACAGTAATAAACGGATCTATCTTGTATTTATTCAATTAGGGGTGTTTTTATGTTGCTAAAAAAACCAAACATTTTTGCGAGTTCGCCTCTGCACAGATCAGACCTAGTACTTGATCTGATGATGTCACCCGCTTCTTTCCATGGAGATCTGTGTTTATGCCATGATTATTCTAAGCAAAGCAACAGCTTTTCTATGCAACAAACAAGCACCAAAAATCTACATGGTGCAACTTTTATACTGGGTCAATATCAGTGTGGTTTTTCATGACTAGTAAAGTCATGAGCAGGATTTTATAACATTTCAATAAAATTAAATAAAAAAATGTAATAGAATTGAACCTGCAACCCCATTTCATACAAACAGTCTTGCACTTTGCCATAGTAGAGAGAGTACATGTTGTGATGTTTGCTGTTGCAGGTATCTTCACTCCAGTGTCGAAGATCTCCAAAGCCGAGGTCCAGACGCCCTCCTCGGTCACCTCCACCCCCCGCACCCCTCACATGGACCTGGCCTCTCGCCTCACCGCCAAGATGAAGAAGGAGAAGGACAAAAAGGAAAAGGACAAGGACAAATGTGAGCACACACACACAGAGCCTGCAGATAGACCCTTTAAAAGTTTCTAAATGTACATACACGCTGCAAATTTCTCTGATCTGACCAAGATTTTAAAACTTCTATTAGGTTATTCATCTTGTTTTCAGATTTATTATCTACTTAATAGTTCTTAGATGCTTCATTCTAGTCTAGAGGTCATTTATTTTAAGAGAACTTGTCAAGTAAATGGGTCTTGCTGCATGGACACATCATTTCACTACTACTACAGTCATTTTCTGATAGATTTAAAGGTTGTATGGAGGATTTTTTTTTGTTTCAAATTGTCAGTGGAAGTTTTAAATACCATTACAGAGATGCAGCAGCCTTGTAATTATGATGACAAAAAAAAAAAAAGAAAATCTGTCAACTGTGGACGTAGTAAGGCCAGGTAAACATCAGCCAATAGAAAATAAGGCTACCTCATTGTCTATTGGCTGTTAGGTTGTCAATCAATCTCCCTAGTGTAACTGGGATTACGTGGTTGATGCAGTGGTTCTTAAAGGCTTTTTCAAACTGTAACTTCCTCACATTTAGCTCAAAGTTTGTTGCGATGGCGGACGAGAATCCACGACCAGTTTGCCGCAAAAGAAAGTCCGTTTTTGAGGTCGCTGAAAGAAGAAGAGTAGGGGAAAAGGAGCGAAGCCAAACTGAGGTGATTCTTGGAGATTCCTTCCAACGATGGTGCGACTGAAGCAGACGAAGGGTCTAAAAACTGATGCGTCGGTCGCTAAATTACTTCTAGACAGGAAACTTCAACAGTAATCCTGAACACGCACTGGCTGTAAACAAGCGTGATTTCTAGAGTAAAGAGGCGGGAGGAGGTGGTTCTACTGAGGGAGCTGGAGGAGGAAGGTGGTGTCATGCATGCACAAGGATGGTCGCTGTATTTCTTTTCCCTTAAAAAATCCTTTATACAACCTTTAAGTGTTTATATCTGAAATTTTGGTCAAGTTTTTTTGCAGTCCATCAATTTCAGAATCAAGTGACTGGGGGTAAAAAGTGAAGTGGAATGCAACATGATTTCATTGTACAAACTGAGATTAACCACAAAATCTCACGCTGTATGAAAAGTCAAGGTGGTTTTTGGCAATGAAAACCGCTCTGGTAACTGTAGAAAGTGATAACTATTGAAAATGTGGTCTTCGTTGTGCCTCTAGTTACCAGCATTCTGAAACTGTATTAAATCTGATGACATAACATTTAAAGGGTCTTGTTTTGGCTTGGGCAGAGGTCTTCAACAGCGGGGTTGTGACGCCTAGGGGGGTCATGGAGGTACTGCGGGGGGGGGGGGGGGTCGCGAAATCTTTGGTTGATTAGAGTTTTTAAATGTATTTCTTTATTTTTGAAGGATGTGGATGAACTGGTTTTCAGTGGGTTCTGTCTGTTGGCTCCTTCATCACATCTGTCTATGGAGTAAGAAAGCTGTCAAAAATATTCGTGCACATAAAATAGAAATCCGTGCGTATTTGGGAAATCCGTGCATATTTGGCTGTAGTTGCGCATAAAATAAATATTTGTAAACTCTCAAATGAGTCCAGTCGTACATAAAATATATTGTGTGTATTTTATCCATCAGAATACGAATTGAAAAATTACGACGTCATGAATTACAATCACGAAATGAAAATTTACGATTACACTTTCATCAGTACAAATACGAATTCACAGACGGAACTTTACTGTCAAAAATATGTCATCACTTCACAGACATTATTCATCGAGCAGAAGAAACATCGATCAAGATCAAGACTGCGCAGCTCAAGTTTGTAGCAGAGGGTAAAAACAGAGTAAAAGCACAAGAAGCTACAACAGCGACCAACAAGTGGGTTAATCTAATCTAAATCTATTGTAAAAATGTCTTGAATTCGGGAACCGAACGCTGCTGTATAATATTGTGTAGAAACACCTCCTTTGAACGGGAAATTGCACCTATATGTTAGAAAACATAGTGGAGCCAATTGGCTAACATCCGACGTAACGTTATCCCAGGGCTAATTAGCAAATATCAGGTTCTCTGTATGTTTAGATTAAAACATTCAGGGCTCCAGCCACAGCGAGCATCAGTCAGTCTTCACTTCAGCTGCATTTCAGACAATGGGTTTTACATGAGTTATAATGGGTTATAATTAGCAAATCCATCCACGTCACGGTGACGTTAAACTTACCGGTAAATACTGTATATATACCAAGGTGTTGCCTGTAAACACGAACATTAATTGATGCTGGAAGCTGCATTAAACTGTAATGTGTAACATTTCATTAGCTGTGACGTCTGTAACCAGGACAGTTTGGTAGTGTTTGGTGTAAACTGGGACATTTCAGCATCCCGAGGAACATTTGGTGGCATTTCATGCGAGAAATGCAGCGACTGACTGATGCTCGCTGTGGCTGTAGTCGTGAATGTTTTAATCTAAACATACAGAGAACCTGATATTTGCTAATTAGCCCTGGGATAACGTTACGTCGGATGTTAGCCAACTGGCTACCACTATGTTATCTAACATATAGGTGCAATTTCCCGTTCAAAGGAGGTGTTTCTACACAATATTATACAGCAGCGTTCGGTTCCCGAATTCAAGACATTTTTACAATAGATTTAGATTAGATTAACCCACTTGTTGGTCGCTGTTGTAGCTTCTTGTGCTATTACTCTGTTTTTACCCTCTGCTACAAACTTGAGCTGCACAGTCTTGATCTTGATCGATGTTTCTTCTGCTCGATGAATAATGTCTGTGAAGTGATGACGTATTTTTGACAGTAAAGTTCCGTCTGTGAATTCGTATTTGTACTGATGAAAGTGTAATCGTAAATTTTCATTTCGTGATTGTAATTCATGACGTCGTAATTTTTCAATTCGTATTCTGATGGATAAAATACACACAATATATTTTATGTACGACTGGACTCATTTGAGAGTTTACAAATATTTATTTTATGCGCAACTACAGCCAAATATGCACGGATTTCCCAAATACGCACGGATTTCAATTTTATGCGCACGAATATTTTTGACAGCTTTCTTACTCCATATCTGTCTCTCTCTCTTCATTTCCTCGTCTCTCAATCATCGACACCTCGGCCCAAATTTTATCGTTTGTCTTTCGGCTACATGTGAAGAGTTCCATTACAGGTTTACTTTTATGCAGAGTGGAACTTAAACTCTGCATGTACTACTGCACCTCGGGAAGGGGTCAGGCAGCTTCATTCCCCTGGCGCATTAACCAGGCTCCACACAGCCGTCTCCTCTCTGTCCATGGAGCAACAGAGAGAGGAGGAGGAGAACAGGAGAGGAGGAGGAGAACAGGAGAGGAGGAGGAGAACAGGAGAGGAGGAGGAGAACAGGAGAGGAGGAGAGGAGAACAGGAGAGGAGGAGAACAGGAGAGGAGGGAGAACAGGAGAGGAGGAGGAGAACAGGAGAGGAGGAGAAGAACAGGAGAGGAGGAGAACAGGAGAGGAGGAGGAGAACAGGAGAGGAGGAGGAGAACAGGAGAGGAGGAGAACAGGAGAGGAGGAGGAGAACAGGAAAGGAGGAGGACCTGCTCCTCAGGTCAGAATGACTGGAAAAGTTCCTTGGCCCATATCAAACTCTGGTCCATGCATTGTGGCTCCTCTCTCGTTTGATCAGATCAAGTCACACTTTGAGCTTTTTTCATGATGTTGTTGCTCCATTGCTCTGTCCTTCTCAGAGTCCCCGAGAGCATAGAGTGCAGCTCAAACTTCAGGTCTGAATTAGCTTTGGTCAGACTCAGGATTATTTCTGTCATGGAATGAGTTGAGGCTTAAACTGGAGATGGAGTTAGATTCAGATTTCAGGATAATCCTGGACTTATTAAGCGACTTTGATGAAATACCCCCCTAGTACTTAATGTACAATAACAGAATAGATGTTTATACACGACACGAGGCCTAATTTAATATAAAACACAATTGTATGTCATATATATAGTTTGAGGTCCCTGCTCCAACTCATCGGTTTGGGTTAAAAAATGTTGAAGGGCTAGGGTTATGGTTATTACCTCCATAATCATTAAACTTCCCATATCACACAAAATTGACTCATGTGAGCATTAAGACACTTTATAATGTCTCCTCCAAAATAGACCAAGAGTTGTGTTTTGTTTCATTCACACAGTGTGAGTAATCCTTTGTTTTTAGTCCATCTACTAGTATATCCCCAAAGCTCAAAATGCTCTGTTCTACCTTGTGATGTCATGATGTCTTTTACCTTTTTACTTTAGTTCTGTAGAGATTGACAATTCCAGGGCTAAAATGATCTAAATGGTTGTCGTGAAGCTGTTTGAGGTTTAAAAACACAGTGGACCACTTCCTGTATTACTTTGGTTTATGTGTTAAACATGTGTAAATGAAACAGAACACGGTTGCTGTGCTTTTGATGAGGAAACTATATTATAACATAGAGCACATAATAGTCTTATATGAGTTTTTAACTGTACAGATGAAACTCACAATCTTTACATTGTAATGACCTTTTTTTTTTTTTTTAGAAATATTTTTTCTTCCTGCTTATGTACAGGTAGAAGATGTTTTTGTTTTGAAAAATTCACATTTCTATCTAGTATGTATTGCAGGCCCCATTCTCCACAGATCTGACCTATGACTTGACCTGGTACCGGCAAACAGACTAGAAACATGACACACTGCACCATATATTTGTAATGACTCTCCCCAAGAATAAACAGGCTTCAAACATTGTAGATTTTCTGCCCTCTGTGATGACGTTTGCTTGTGCTGAACAGGGCAGAGGAAGAAGTCATCGAGTGTGCCTCCAGAAGGGGGCGTGGCGGAGCTGGGAGACCACGTGCTCGTAGCAGGACAGAAGCTGGGAGTGGTGCGCTTCTATGGGAAAACAGAGTTCGCCCCAGGTATGAGGAGCACACTGTTTAGCCCACTTTGGTCTGCTTTAACCCAGGTGGACCCAGACATGAGACTATAGTGGAATACAGTGTAATAATTATCATGGCCAATATAATAAAGCAATTAACATTAATATAACAATAATAACTAAAAATGTCCTGGAAATACTCTCCAATGATTGTACATGCCGTGTATTAAAGGAGACATATTGTGTCAAATTGACTTTCATAAGATTTTTGAAATGTTATAATGTTCCCTTATCATGATCTTATTCAGAGTATCGCCCTATATTTGAGGCTAGAGTGTTCAGAAAATGTGTTTTCATCTACCCCCTATCTCTGTTTCTATTTGATCCATGTATATTATATCTTAATACTTAAAAAAGATGCACTAATCCAGCTTCTTTACTTCTGATACCGATTACAATAAAATGTTTTTTTGTATCTGCCAATACCTGAAATTAACTGATACCAGTGCAGAGGCTCAAAACAATGTTTCTTTACTTTAAAAATAAGTCTCTGTGTGTCCACGTGTGCTGTGTTACTGTTCTTTATCTCTCCACAGAGCAACAGTGTACATAAAAGTTCAAACATTGTGAGTCTTAGTAAGCCAAATACAACCAGGACATAGTCTTATGTCCAGGCAGGATATTGACTGAACCCATATTTGTGAGGTCATAGCGATGAAGCACCTTTTACACGATCAACGCCAGTAATCAATAGTAGTTCAGTAATAGTTCATTACTAATACTGGATCAGCCCATCTCTAATTCTAAATAATCATGTTTAAAGCCATAGCATGTAACTTTATAGACAAAAATAGACAAAAATAAAAGCCGGGTAATGTAAAATGTAAAAAGATGTGTCCTTACTGTGAGTGGGCTTATATCTCCACAAAGCCCCTCTGCCTGCTCCCGCTTGTTTCCATGGAAATGTTGTTCCATTATCTATCCTTAAATATTTCCATAAAGAATGTTCCAGAGTGTGCTTTTAACTTTTTGGCATGGGATCATGCAGGTCACATGCTATGCACAGAAAACAACACACTGTACCTTTAAGTTAAGAAGATGTGAATTTTGTAATGATAAATAAGTGTCACATTTCAGATGTTATTGAACGGTGAAAACACCGATGGCAATCATCACACTTAAATGATTATTGTCCTTCTTCTGTATTGCACAGTGCTGTTGTAGTGTACTGACACACCCCTGTGTGTGTATGTGTGTGTGCGTGTGTGTGTGTGTGTGTGTGTGTGGTGTGTGTGTGTGTGTGTGTGCGTGTGTGTGCGTACGTGTGTGTGTGTGCGTGTGTGTGTGCAGGTGACTGGTTTGGCATCGAGCTGGACAAACCCACAGGCAAACACGACGGCTCTGTGTTCGGAGTGCGCTACTTCAGCTGTCTGCCCAAATATGGCGTGTTCGCCCCACCCTCACGGGTTCAAAGGTCAGGATCCATCTGTCACTCATTTAACCCTCAGATCAGAGATTTTTTTAAAGGTCCTATATATGATTTTCTCACCAGTACAGATATATTGTAACAGCTCTTCAAATAGGCCAAATCAGGTCTTGGTGTTAGCTTTACTGTTACAGTAAAACTCGGCTCTGGTGTCTGAAAGTTGTGAAAAGTGCAGATAAACTGATGGTGGTGAATAATGAAGATGCTCAGGATGCAGAAGGTCAGAGAGGGAGAACTTTACACTGTAAACTGTGTAAAATGAACAAGGTCCGACTGTCAAATCAGGTAGAGCCTTTAAAGTAGCCACAAAATCAAGCTTAATCATTTGCTTAATCAGAAGTCTTTATTTTGAAGAATGTCTTATTATGTGTCACCAAAAAGGCGGTGGTACAATTCCCAATTCTGCCATTGCCCTTAGGCCTGACCCTTGCATCCGCTTACTCTTTGTGTACCATGTGTGTAACATTTGTGTTTTCAGAATCGGAGGCCCCAAAGACGGCTCCCAGAACGACTCCATGGTTAAAAAGGTTCACCAAGTCACCAGTAAGTGACAACTACTTTGACTTAACTTTTACATGAAGACTTTATTCCAGGCGTGCAGCAGTACTCCAAAAGAGTACTGCAGGAGTACTCCAAAAGAGTACTGCAGGAGTACTCCAAAAAAGTACTGCAGGAGTACTCCAAAAGAGTACTGCAGGAGTACTCCAAAAGAGTACTGCAGGAGTACTCCAAAAGAGTACTGCAGGAGTACTCCAAAAAAGTACTGCAGGAGTACTCCAAAAAAGTACAAATACTTCAGGAGTACAAATACTGCAGGAGTACAAATACTGCAGGAATACAAATACTGCAGGAGTACAAATACTGTGCTCATGTGATGAGCCTTTTCACACGAGTGAAACAGTTTGGTCGATGTAAAAGAGCACTCGCTCCTGTGTGTGTATGTGTGTGTGTGTGTGTGTGTGTGGGGGGGGGTGTTTGTGTGTGATGTGTTTGTGTGTGTGGTGTGTGTGTGATGTGTGTGTGTGTGTGGTGTGTGTGTGTGTGTGTGTGTGTGTGTGTGTGTGTGGTGTGTTTGTGTGTGTGGTGTGTGTGTGGTGTGTTTGTGTGTGTGGTGTGTGTGTGTCTGGAGTGGCTCCTCTCTCTTTGTCTGGATTGTGTGTATCGTAACTCTTGTGTGCATCCTAACTCTTGTGTGTGTCCTAGCTGTCCTGTGTGTGTCCTAAATGTCTTGTGTGTGTCCTAACTGTCCTGTGTGTGTCCTAACTCTTGTGTGTGTCCTAACTGTCCTGTGTGTGTCCTAAATGTCTTGTGTGTGTCCTAACTGTCCTGTGTGTGTCCTAACTCTTGTGTGTGTCCTAACTGTCCTGTGTGTGTCCTAACTGTCCTGTGTGTGTTCTAACTGTCCTGTGTGTGTCCTAACTCTTGTGTGTGTCCACAGTGTCACAGCCGAAGCGTAACTTCAACACTCTGCACTCTCCCAAGGACCTGACCTCAGACAGCTCCATATCCAGGTACAAACATCTGCATCAGGGTCTCAAATACAGCAAAGTACACGAGAGTACACCAAAGTACCCTAACATAGTACCCAAAAGTACATCGGGGACCCTAAAGTACACCCACATTACACCAGTTCACCAAAGTACACCATGAGTGTATTACTCATGACTCAAGTTTTCAACTCGATGCCGGTCCCGTGTCCCAAAGCTGCATGTGTGATTTTCTCTGTGAGGGAAGTGCACTGAAGAGAGAGTCCAGTGTAGGGGCCTGGGGACATTCACACAGGTGTTCAGAGTCTGTCAGCTGGTAGGATGGACTGTGTGACTGGTCCATAGCTCTCACAAACCCTTCAGCAAACTGAGCCTTATTCATGAATCTTTATTTATTTATTTATTTTTTTTTCATAATTTCCACTTTAAGAAGATGCTGAGAGGACTCTGCGCTGGATTCACAAAGTGTTCTTAAGCAGCTGAATTCTGTGACTGCCATAACAGATGCGCTTAATTCACCAACACCCAGTTACAAACACCTCCATGCTCATTTTCATTTCATTTACATAAAAATGTCTATGTAGCAAAAAACACCCTCTGAACATCCATATATGGCCAATATGGGTTTGGCTTTATGACAAGTGAAAGTGCAAGGGAGAGAGTGACGAGGAGGTCAGGTGGAGCGTCTACAGACTACGACTGTTTTACAGCTTCAGCAGCGATTTCAAATGTCCAAGCTCACATAGACACACTCAGGGAGGGAAGATTTAAGTCTTCAACTTAAACGCTGCTGTTTGGTCATATTTATTGTGCTTTCTGCTATCGTGGACCTGCGATAAACAGCGAAGGAGGGGGACTGGAGTGGGGGTGGCAGGTGATGGGGGGTTGGTGATGGGGGTTGGTGATGGGGGTGCAGGGCTGTGGAGTTCAGTGCTGTGACCAGGCTCAGGACTGTGACAGAGCCCCATATGGAGGCACTGGGGCTGGGACAGACTGAGGCTCACTGCAGCCTGGAGAAAATCTATTAGATCCAACAGACACATGCTCTAGAAAACACCTCAAATAGAATTTTATGTTGCAATATCAGAGTAATGTTCTAAAACAGTAGAATTTTTGTCCTTTCGAGTGCTCTTGACTTAAGTACAAATGTGTTCATAAGAACACTTGATGAATGAGGCTCATTGTCAGTGTGTTCAGGTCAGTGTGCCAGGTTCTCCACTCACACTGTCATTAAAGCAGAGGCTCAGCACACGAGCTCAGTCCCTGTTCTGATTGTGTCTTTGTGTGTTGCAGGTTGCTGTTCTGTTGCTGGTTTCCCTGGATGCTCCGTGCTGAGATGCACTCCTAACCTCCCCCTCCACTGGGGCCCCCCTTGGGCCCCCTCAGGCCCCCCTCTCACCTGTGTCATTGTGTTTGAGACGGTTCTTACTATAGCCATTTGTCAGCAGATTAGTGCCTTGTATCAGACACACACCACACGGCTACACGTGCACAGCTCTGAAGGACAGGAGCACCTGACAGGAGCACCTGACAGAAGCACCTGACAGGAGCTCCTGACAGGAGAACTTCATGAGAGCCTACAGTAGACAGTACAGGGGAACGGCCAGTCCTTAAAGAGCTCGGGATCAAATGGCAAACTTGACGTTATTGGCAATGTGTGAAAAATGTCCATCAGGATGTATTGGCCAAAAGCAAACACAAGAACCATAGAACAGTGTGACAAACCTCTGGATCATTACCACAAATTGGAGAAAGAAGTGGACTGAGGCATTTAGCTCCAGCCAAATGAAGCCAATTGAAGCTAGCAGTGGCAGATTATCTGCAGCCAGGGACAATATTTGGAAGTCCGAGCGTGACACCAAAGAGCCCATCAGGAGTGACCTCTTTCCCAGAGGTCACTCCTGTCGCTGGTTGTTGGTTGTTAATGTTTATATTTTGTTTTAGGGATAAAATAGTGAAATTAAATCCCCAGGATTATGCAGAGCAGGTTCAATCCAACATTTTAATACCAAAATGATGAGTGTGACAGCAGCAGTAGCTATGTGCATTTATATATACAGTCTGTGGTCATGCTATATGAAAGAACCCATATTTTGCATTCTAAACATGCGTTTGGTCGCCTTGGGGGATGAGTATTTCTCCTTTTCAAACTTCAGACAATGTCTGCATTTAGAAAATATACTTTATAAACTACACTTCTGTTTCCAGTGAGGTATTTAGACTCCGGAGCTCCCTCTGCTGTCAGCAATGGGAATGCACCATCAGCATGTAAACAAATGAAATCCTGAGGCCCATGGTGCTGTGCTAACAGAGCCATCTGCTGTTGTGAACACACTTTGCCTGCAGAATGAGTCTGGTGATGGTTTACAGACTTTTTTAAAACTATGATGCAACACTCTAGGGAAAATGAGCAGAGCATTTTTGAGTGCTCACTTTACAGATTTTGTAATAATGGATTAAAGAATGAATGAAACTAAAATAGAACTCCAGTGTTAAAGTTAGATGATGGGACCACCGTCCATTTTGCATAATATGTGTTCTTTAATATTTTGTATCTTAAAATCTGAACAGAAAATTTGCTGTGACAACACAATCCCGAGCTCTACTGGCCTAAGTTGCCTTCCTCTTGGAACAGAATTTCAGGAAGACAGTATAGTGCCCCCTGTGCCACCTTTGGGTTATTACATGTTTGTTTGAAGGGGATGCAACATAACAATACTGAATTTGATGTATTGATATGTCCCTGCAATCTGCAAATGTATATATTGTGATTCAGTGCCCTCTGCTTTTTCCCACCCACTCCTGCTCTTGGTCAGGCTACAGTGTGCTCTGAGTGACAGGTGGGTTTCTCCAGGTGGGTTTAATCAGGGTGAGGCAGAGTTTAAAGATACAAAGTGTACATTTATTGACACGTATAAAGTGTTTGTGTTGTGCTCAGCTACTCACACAGTCGGTTTATTTCTATATTTTTAGAATGAGTTGGAAAAAGTGCTGATGTCATTTATTGAATGGTCAGGAGTCCTCAAAATGGCGCCTTGAACAGGAAAATGTCACATGACCAAAACCTAAGAATAGAAACAGACAGTCTCAAATTATTAACCCATTTAGACGGAAATGGAGCTCAGCCCCGCCCACTTTGAATCCAATTTCAATGTCCCATTTTTCCCCTATAGACTTGGACAAAGACAGCTGTTTTCAGTCCAGAAAACACATTTAAAACTTTTGATTTGGTAATTTAACAATATAAACATTACTTGATACCCCCTAAAATGTCAATGAGAAAAATGAATGGGACTTTTACTTCTGGAATCTCATAGTGGGCGGTCACCGATGATGTCCATACCATACCCCACAAAGATCTCCAGGTCATCCCCAAACATGCTCCTCCAGTCTAGACCTCCTCCAGTCTGGAACTCCCCTTCTGCTCTGGTCTGGATCTCCTCCAGTCTGGACCTCTCCCAGTCTGGACCTCTCCCAGTCTGGACCTCTCCCAGTCTGGACCTCCCGTCCTGCTCCAGTCTGGACCTACTTCAGTCTGGACCTCTTCCAGTTTGGACCTCCTCTAGTCTGGACCTGGTCTCCTGAACCCAGTTTATTTCATGTGTAAAGTAAATCTACTACTACTGTAACTTTTCTTTGCTGGGCATTGAACCTTATATAAATACTAATCATGTTTGTTATATTAATTCCTACCAAATGTGCAGAGATGAGGAGGATAGCCACTAATGTTCTTAAGTAAAAGTACCTTTACTTCAAAATATTAATCAAGTTAAAGTACAAAGTAGTTGTCCAAGAAATTACTCAATGTAAAGTAAAAAAAACAAAAACACAAAAAAAACAACGTATTTTGGAAAACTATTACTCGAGTAATAATAAGTAACTGTGTGGACTGATTTGAGACAAACTAAATCAGATGTGAAGGAGCAGCAAGAAACACAAATGTTCAAAGCATTTCATATTGTCACATAAAGCTTTTGTCACTTTAGACTTACTCACAGTAGGAAAAGCAACCACAACTTCTACTCAAATAAGAGTGCTGTTACACTGTACAATATAGTACTCCAGTAAAGGTATAGTATTTGTAAACTGCTCAAATAAGAGTACTTGATTACTTGAGAGCATTGGCGCCCTCTTTAGGCCGCTGACGGGAGTGTGAGTCCGTGCTGTATTCTTGTATCTTTGGGCCAAACAGCTGTTGTTGTTGTAGCCTCGTGTACATGTACCCTCGGTGTGATGCATGCTCATATCAGTGACATGAAAACGCCTGGAACAATACAACAGTGTATCCAATAAAGCAGGTCCTCATGTTTCAGAGTGTGTGTCTCATTGACATGTCCAAAAAAACAACTAGGCCTTTTACAATCAATACTTTCATTTCAAACTTTCAAACATACCTGAATTATGTTTTGTTTTATTCACATGTTTATTATTAGTCTGTCTACATCTCCAAAAGTCTAAATGCTCTGTTCCACCTTGAGATGTCATGAAGTGGTAGTTTTCAGGTTAACAGCTCGCTTTAGCTTTAGTTCAGTAGAGATGGGCAATTCCGTGCTGAGATCATACAAATCAGTCTTGTGAAGATGTGTGGAGTTTAAAAACACAGTGGAACCCTTCCTGTTTTCTTCTCATTGACATCACAAGTGAAACAAACTGTGTTCAGTTTGAGAGAAGAAGTCACGCTAAATGTGCAGAGTTTGTGTGTTAAACAAAACACAGCTTCAGGTCTGTTTGTGATGAGGAGGAGCATGGGGCCGTGGAGCATAGAGGGCTCGTCTCCATGGAGATGCTGTTGTAGCTTTGCCTGGAATGCCCCACGGTGTGATGTTGAACTTATCTTGCATTCAATTTGTGTTTTTTTGTTGTTCAGAAAATCACCTACAAAATATATTTTTCATTATGAGTGGGATTGCCTCTCCATAGATCTGACCTGTAACACCTGTTTTGTAATGCCATACTGTGGAACTTTCTAGGCAAGACAAAAATATCTCTGTGAAAACAAGCAAGTGGTAGATGCTTCACAAAGTTAGTTATGTTAAAGTTGTCTATCTCCATGGAGACAAGCAGGTGACTCTGCCACGGCAAGTTACAGGTCAGATCTATGGAGAGGCAAATCCCAAATCCCAATAGAGTAAGAAAGTCTTTAACATGATCGGACATTATAAACACCAGAGGGTCCATACAGCTGTAGTCCATGGAGATGTTGCTATGCCTGAATGTTTCAATTATATATTATTACCTGTCTTGCATTTATCCAATTATAGCTGTTTTTATTTCCAGATCAGTACCTGGAGAAGCACGTTTCTGCATGTGGGTCACCCCTCCACCTCCATCTGCTCCTGTTCCTCCTCTGCTCCTCCTCCACCTCCATCTGCTCCTGTTCCTCCTCTGCTCCTCCTCCACCTCCATCTGCTCCTGTTCCTCCTCTGCTCCTGTTCCTCCTCTGCTCCTGTTCCTCCTCTGCTCCTCCCTCCACCTCCATCTGCTCCTCCTGTTCCTCCGTCTGCTCCTGTTCCTCCTCTGCTCCTATTCCTCCTCTGCTCCTCCTTCACCTCCATCTGCTCCTGTTCCTCCGTCTGCTCCTGTTCCTCCACTGCCCTCCCTCCACCTCCATCTGCTCCTGTTCCTCCTCTGCTCCTGTTCCTCCTCTGCTCCTCCTCCACCTCCATCTGCTCCTGTTCCTCCTCTGCTCCTCCTCCACCTCCATCTGCTCCTGTTCCTCCTCTGCTCCTCCTCCACCTCCATCTGCTCCTGTTCCTCCTCTGCTCCTCCTCCACCTCCATCTGCTCCTGTTCCTCCTCTGCTCCTATTCCTCCTCTGCTCTTCCTTCACCTCCATCTGCTCCTGTTCCTCCGTCTGCTCCTGTTCCTCCACTGCCCTCCCTCCACCTCCATCTGCTCCTGTTCCTCCACTGCTCCCCCTCCACCTCCATCTGCTCCTGTTCCTCCGTCTGCTCCTGTTCCTCCACTGCCCTCCCTCCACCTCCATCTGCTCCTGTTCCTCCACTGCTCCCCCTCCACCTCCATCTGCTCCTGTTCCTCCGTCTGCTCCTGTTCCTCCACTGCTCCCCCTCCACCTCCATTTGCTCCTGTTCCTCCGTCTGCTCCTGTTCCTCCTCTGCCCTCCCTCCACCTCCATCTGCTCCTGTTCCTCCGTCTGCTCCTGTTCCTCCTCTGCTCCTCCTCCACCTCCATCTGCTCCTGAACCTCTTCTGCTCCTCCTGTTCCTCCTCTGCTCCCCCTCCACCTCCACCTGCTCCTGTTCCTCCTCTGTTCCTCTGTTCCTCCTGTTCCTTCGTCTGCTCCTGTTCCTCCGTCTGCTGCTGTTCCTCCGTCTGCTCCTGTACCTCCTCTGCTTCACCTCCACCTCCATCTGCTCCTGTTCCTCCGTCTGCTCCTGTTCCTCCTCTGCTCCTCCTCCACCTCCATCTGCTCTTCTTCCTCCTGGGTACAGGGGTTTTCTTCAGTGTTTGTTGAGTAAAATGAAGTTGGTTTAGTTTTAGTCCTTGTGAACTGCTTTTCTGTTTGTGCAGAAACATTCCTGACCTGTGTGGTCAGTGGTGAGCTGTTTGCAGATGCAGGTCAGAGGATGATCTCCCTGACGCTTCTCTGGCCAGAGAAGATCTGGAGGAGCACACAGATCCTAGCCCAGACCGTCATCTCACTGTGAGCTGTGCAAACGTGTGAGTCTGATTGTGCTCCACACCACTGAACAACCAACAGAACCC